ACAAATTAGCATTCACCCCTCCCGCTGTATTTTCTTCCTTTCATCCCGAACCGAGAACCGGCATCGGCGAATCTTTACATTATGGTAACTTGGCGAATTTTTGGCGACCAACCCTGCTACAGCAACCTGCTAGTTTTGTTTTGGACGCCATTTTGTTTTCACAAAGTAAAAGCTTTTTTTTTTTTTTTTTTTTTTTTTTTTACTCAACATTTTTTCCAACAATCTGCTAGCCGAATTACGCTTATACTAGAACTTTTATGGAAAAAGAATGCTTAATTACAGCGAAGATTAGGTGCGAAATTGAGAGTGCCTGCTTGCCGCGTTTTTAAGCATTCCACATAAATGGTATCGGCTGATCTTTAGAATATGGTAACTGGTAGTTTGGCGACATTTTGGAGGCGATAAAAGTTACTACCTGGGACTTTGGTAATAATGTGAGCAGTACTCAGTTCCGATTACGCATTATTTTGTGTGAGGGAAATGAGAGATCGTGGGATATGTCATGTGATATTAATGGACGAATTACGGTTCTTTAATCGGGAAAAAATCTGGAAATTTTGTATTTGGCTTTATTCTGTGTTGTGTGAAACAGTGTTCGTTAATTTTTGGATCCCATGGCCCTAACTAAAGTGAATTCGAAATGGGTACTTAGTGGGATTGAAAGGGGTAGTAATAAGTGTTTCTTTAAGGTTGTGCGAGATAGAAGTAAAGATGTTTTCTTAAGTTATTTATTTTACCTGGTACCTTGCTGTGAACTATAAGTATGATTTTAAAGATCCTGAAACAGAAATAAGAAAAGTTTATCGGACCGTAATCAAGATTCTGAAGAAGAATAGGTAAGTTAGTATTTTTAAATTATTTGAGGATATTATTTTTTTATGCATTGTTCTAAATGTAAGGTGGAAGTAAGTAATTTGCATAAACGTGCATGGAAATAATTAAAATATTTGGACACTAAGTATTTGTAACCATTTGTAAGTGTTTGCGGTATGAATTAGTTAGTGACGTTTGTAATATTAGATAATATAGAGAAAAGGTTTTTGGATATCTATATTTATTTTATACGGGGGAAATGTTCATATTTGGAAAGGGTATTACTTTTTCGCGATCAGGTAATTTCATATATCTTCTTTTTACCGGGTTTAAAGATTCAGAAAATTGTTACGCATTTTCGTCAAATTTTTCTAATTTATGAGAAAAAAGCAGTGTACATGGATATAGTGAAGAGTGTGTGCAATGCCATTTTTGTGCAATTCTGGGATGTTTTTTTAAGTAAAAATAAGTGGATGCGTACATGGTTTAGTGATATTTTAATTAAATGATAGTTATTTTATGAATTTTATGTTTGTAGGAATTTGGTATAACGTTCAGTTGAAGTAAACGTGCATGGAAATATTTAAATATTTGACACTAGTATTTGTAATGCTTGCGGTATGAATTCGTTAGTGATGTGTATAATATAATAGATGATTTAGAGGTAAAAAGTTTTTGGATATTTATTATTTTATATGTGGAAATGTTCATATTTGGAAAGGGTATATACTTTTCGCGATCAGGTAATTTCATATATGTTTCTTTTTGCCGGTTTTAAGAGATTCAGAAAATTGTCATGTATTTTCGTGAAATTTTTTCTAATTTAGAGAAAAAAGCAGTGTACATAGATATAGTGAAGAGTGTGCGCATGCCATTCTTGTGTAATTCTGGGATTTTTTTTAAAGTAAAAATAAGTCGGCGTGTACATGGTTTATGTTATGTTTATTTTGAAAAACGCATAAGGAGTATGGTATTGTGCACATTTTCCCAATTTTTGCAGTGAATATTGTCATGATTAAGCAGTTTTGTTAGATAAAATTTCTAGCATAAGTGTATTTCGGCTAGTAGATTGTTGGAAGAAGTGTTCAGTAGATAAAAAGAAAAGAAACATGGTTAATCTTACATTATGTACTGGCGATTTTTTTTGGCGACCACTCTCCTACAGCGAACCTCTATTTTTTTTTTTCCCGCCGCCCTTTGTCTTCACGAAGTAAAGACATGTTCTTTTCTTTGTATCTACTGAACTTCTTCCAACAATCTACTAGCCGAATTACACTTATGCTAGAATTTTATCTAACAAAACTGCTTAATCATGACAAATATTCACTGCAAATTGGAAAAGTGCACATACCATACTCCTTTACGCGTTTTTCAAAATAACATACACATAACCATGTACACGTCGACTTATTTTTTACTAAAAAAAATCCCAGAATTGCACAAAATGCATTGCGCACACGTTCATTATATCCATACACTGCTTTTTCTCATAAATTGAAAAATTTCACGAAATACATGACAATTTTTTTAATCTTAAACCCGGTAAAAGAACATATAGAAATTACCTGATCGCGAAAAATATATACCCTTTCCAAATATGACATTTCCCTATAAAATAAATAAAATTTTCCAAAAACTTTTTACCTCTACATTATCTATTATATTACAAACGTCACTACTAATTCATACCGCACAACATACAAATGGTTACAAAACTTAGTGTCAAATATTTAAATTATTTCCATGCACGTTTACGCAAATTACTTACTTCCCTTACATTTAGAACAATGCATAAAAAATAATATCCCAAATAATTCAAAATACTAACTTACCTATCTTCTTCAGAATCTTGATTTACGTGTCGATAAACTTTTCTTATTTCTGTTCATGATCTTTAAAATCATACTTATAGTTCACAGCAAGGTACCAGGTAAAATAATAACTGAAGAAAACATCTTTACTTCTATCTCGCACAACCTTAAAGAAACACTTATTACTACCCTATCAATCCCACTAAATACCCATTCGAATTCACTTTAGTTAGGGGCATGGGATCCAAAAATTAACGAACACTGTTTCACACAACACAGAATAAAGCCAAATACAAAATTTCCAGATTTTTTCCGATTAAAGAACCGTAATTCGTCCTAATATCACATGACATATCCCACGATCTCTCATTTCCCTCACACAAAATAATGCGTAATCGGAACGAGTACGCTCACATTTTACCAAAGTCCCAGGTAGTAACTTTTATCGCCTCCAAAATGTCGCCAAACTACCAGTTACCATATTCTAAAGATCAGCTGAAACACGTCTTTACTTCGTGAAGACAAAATGGCGGCAGGAAAAAAAAAAACAGAGGGTTGCTGTAGGAGAGTTGGTCGCCAAATTTTCGCCAAAAAAACGTTAAGTTACCATAATGTAAAGATCAACCACGGTATCCATGTACACGTCGACCTATTTTCTCTTGAAAAAACATCCCAGAATTGCACAAAAATGGCATTGCGACACTCTTGACTTATCTATGTACACATCGACCTATTTCACTTAAAAAAGTCAAAGAAAATTGACAAAATCCAATTCTTCTTACTCTTGTAAAAGCGCCAAAACAAATAAGTAGCGATTCTGCACTTTAGCAGCGAATTGTTTCTAAGTGCTTATTAGCTAAAATCACGTCGGAATTTTCCGGAAAATGTCACATGACATGTCTCAATCTCTCATTCTCTGAGACAAAATAATCTGATGATCGAACTGTGTACTTCTCAGATTATTGCTAAAGTCCTAGCTAGTAACCTTTATCGCCTTACCAAAATGTCGCCAAACTACCTGTTCCCATATTCTAAAGATTAGCCCCGGCATCTATCTACGAAAATATTTCTATCTATTCGTTGTTAAAAAATTCAGAAAAAATAATAATAAATAAGAGAAGAATAATATAAATCTGCAAAGGCAAACAACGATAGTGATATTTCAACAAAATTTGAACGCATGAGGAATAGTTGCAAACTTCGAACAAGCGAATAGGATAAATACTCTGGGTTACCAGGTTTGAACTATTATTGCCAAAGTTGGCGATGTTTACATTTACCGGGTTCTCTGCGGAAGTGCTTCCTAAAAAAAAATTAAAAGTTTACCAAAATTTATAATTTCTAGCATTTTTTTTTTTTTTCCTAAACAGTTTTTACACATGTAAAAAAAAAAATTAATCTTTTTGAGCTCATATTTGCAAAAGGCAAATATACAAAAGCATTATAATGAGCAAGGTACAGAAAAAATTCTTAAAATTTATTTGTAAATCTTTGATATGTGATCAAAACATAAAACAAGCAATACACAATTTTACATCTGCATTCATTTAAGAAGTTTTAGAAAAGAAAATGCTTTAAAACATTAATGGCTTGATAAAAAAAAAATATATATATTTTATGTAAAAAAAAAATTAAGGCTTTTAAATTATGTATTTAATGACTTTAGTAGAAAAATTATTATACATTTTCGTATTTCACAATGCAACAGGTGGAAGCGAAATAACCAAAATACAAAATGCATTTTTAAAAAATGGTATCTAAAACTACTAAAACATTTTTCTTTAAATAACACAAAACCAGTACTTTAAAACTTACTATGATATTCTGTTTCTTCTAATTAACAGCTCTTATAATTAAATTATGCTGATTAGTCTATTCTCATAAGTTTTTCATTTCAATCAAATGCTTAATGTTAGATTATTAAGAAACTCCTGTGTTTTTTAGAGAACTTTTTTCGAGCGAGTGACAACGATGATACCTAAGTAAATAAAATTTACTGAAGACTTATCGGCAATATGAGATTAATTTTAAATAAAAAAACTTTCATTTAATCCTTTACTTTGCGAACACCTTTCATCTTTTAAATAATTTCGGTTTATTGTATAGATTGAATAGTAACAATTACCGGTACTATCCTTAATAATAACAAAGTTTATTATTAAGAGTACATTCCAACAGTAAAATTCATTGTCATGTCACCTCGGCAAGTGTACAGAAACATTTGAAATTGGCATTTAACACACTGATTTTAAATTAAGAATAAAGATACCAGATACACAAACTTTAATGTAACAAACAGCGGGTTTTTTAAGCATAAATAAAATTCTCTTAGTCCAATTCACACAGTTTACCTACAGCATATGTTGTTTAACTTACTCATTATTCGGGTCTACCGATCCCGGTGGTTCACTATTGTTGACTTCAATTGCACCCGGCGGAAGTTTTAAGTTAAGCTTATTTTTGCCGAAACTTTTACTCATTTTTTTGGTTAGTTAGATGGATATAAGTTCCTAATCACATAATTTACAACAGAATGCACACATTACTTCTCATAATACACTTACTAAAAGTACCGACAATCTGGTAAACGAACCAGATTCAAGAAGCTTACATTATGAAGAATTATGCCGCATACCGCCACGATGCAGCAAAGCATATTGTACTTATGCTATAATTTTGATATTACAACGATATAATAAATAAATTAAAATTTATATAGTTTCGTAACGAAGGACTCTCTTGAAAAAAGCCATCTTAATTCAAAGAAATTATACGTTATTTTGTTGCTTTTAAAGAACTAATCCAACATACGTCTAGAATAAGTCTACCCTTTACGTACGGACAAGGTATTAAAATTAAAGGTCATTTTTCGCAAATCGTTTTAAAGTATTAAACACAAGATATTAAAATTAAAGGTCACTTTTTGCAAACCCTTTGAAGGTCCAATAAATTGGCTTACATAGAATTTACATCCACTTTTCACCAAACATGTTTTGATAAATAAATCAGGCACGTTATCTAATTACATGATCAATGTAAACAGCGATTCTGTGTAGTTATGAGGATATATGGTTTTCAATAGAAAAAAAAATGTTTTGTGAAATATTACACTTCATTCAATGCTATGCTCGTAAATTTCTCTTAATGAGAAATCACTGAACTTTGGCAGTTCGGTCTGGGCTCGATCAGAGCTAAATCAAAATGCAGTTGGCCTTTGTTTGATTTCAGGCAAAATAGGTGTTACATGGGTATTTTCACGGTTTTTTCCATATGTAAAGGGGACACGAGTTAATTTGCCTTCAAACATCCTCAAGAAGTTATCTCTTACGCTAAGCAAAAGCCCTCTTGCCATAATCAAACAAAATTTAAAACCAGACTCTTAATTAGGAACATTCGAGCATGTGCTGTCATACGAGAAGGTTGTTTTCCGTCTCGCCTCTTGCTCCCGCTCGTATTTTCGTCTGCGTCGCTTCCCCTTGTGGATGACTCAGCGCATACCTGCCGTTATACGTTTGGATTACAGCTGCTGTCCCTGCTTCTCGGCAAGTATAATTCGTTAGATCTCTTTCTTGCGTGTTCTTTCCAAGCCGCGGCGTCGACTACGGTCAGACGTCTCGTGAAAAATTCAGTTGCAAGGCTACTGAGAAGTTTTAAGTCTTCCAAGTCTTCTAGTAGAGCAGATTGCAACTTTTTTTACTCTTTTCTTCTTGCGCATGACATCTTGTGCTAATGTCAGGTCAAATTTACAGTTAGACCCAGCGCTTGCGTACAACGAACATGGAGGATTCAGCACACTCACATGAAACTTCTGATCATGACTACACGAAACCCTTACTATATTCTCAGTTTATTCATCCTCAGTCATAAGATAACTTTATCGAATAATGCTAACTCCACGAGGCAAGTTGTACTCGACATTGAAAATGTCTTAAGTCAAACAAATGTTGGATTTTCACCCGAAACAATCAAAGAACTACATCTGCTACTTGCAAAAGCCATCAACCAATTAAGAGAAGAAAAAAATGCTCAAGCTACTGCATCTATCAACGAATTCAAAAGTTCTAATGAACTTTTACAGAAACAAATAAACGACTTGAAACAATACTGCGAAGCTCATCAAACTGGAGGTGAATTCCGTAAACAAAGGAAACGCCAACTAAGAAAGTCTTCAGATTCTGAGAGCGAAAATGACGAACCAAAACTTAAAACTAATAACAAATTTCAACTTCTCCAAACCGATAATGACTCAATGAACTTAGATGATATTGAAGAAGACCACCAACGCACTTCTAGTCAACCATTTATACGATATTCTATATATTCCAAAAACTACCAGAAAGAAATTCTCTGAAAATAAAATTCAAAAGAATTGATTTCCACCCATGATAGTGGATAATATTGTTAAAGCCGGCGAATTTCTTGCAAATTTATATCAACTGAAGAAGATATGGGCACTTAAGGAAATAGACTACAAATTGACTCATGCGATCTCAGCGTTATTACAAATATAAAACCGCATAACCCACATTTTTTGCCGAAAAGTGATAATATGGAAAGTCTATGCCTTAAGTACCAATAGCCAAGTATTTGTAATTAAATAAAAATAATATTGAATACCAGCCGCTTTTTTTTATTTATTTTTAGTCATATAACAAAAGATAAACAAGAATACTATTACATCTAAGAATTATTTAGTAAATTATTTTGCTAATGTTTATATGAATGAGGAAACACGGTAAAAATGTTTTAATGATTGAATTCACCGTTAAAAATCAAACAAACCCCAAAATTCCTTTTTCCCAAAACTTCGTAAAATGTTTTGATTAAATATGATTTGAATGAGTTTTCCAATTCTGTTTTGAGTGATATAAATTAGGATATAAATATTATTAAATTAGGATATAAATTATTATTAGATATAATTATTATTAGTAATAATTTTTATATTATAACTTAGCAGAATATCGTTTACCGTTAAAAATTATATCTAAAAGAATTAAATTTTGTAAAAGAATAAAAAATATAATTAACTGTTCCATTTTGTCCTCTATGCATCTATTTATATAAAAAAGGAATCTGGCTAGGGAATTTACGACTTGTATATGAACTAAAAATTGGTATCTTGACAAAACTTGTCAGAGCATAAAAAGCGTATATTCTGTGATATTAGTGTATTAATCATACTTCTGTATCCGTAAATGCAGTTTATAATTACCAGCATAAGTATCATAATGGATTTTATTAAAACGACGAAAACTGAATGCATGATCCTAGCATTATCAAAGTACGGCTCTTTATCCCGTTAAGTATTGCTTGGGTCGTAACCAACACGAGTTTTATTTTTGAAATATTATTCCAAATAAAACAGGAAGCGTTAAACTATATGCATTTTAAACAGTTTTACTTTTTTATATGCATACAAATGTTAAGTAGCTTTAAATTGTACTTCATTTCTCTGAAACTTCTGCGGTATTATTTTTAGAACAGATCAAGGACTTTAAAGAACAAGTACATTTTAGTAATATGCAACGTTAATGATATAGTTCAAATGTTATTGAACAACTGTACGATTTGTAACTGGCACTGGAAGAAGCAAATTTATCTGATGATCCAGTCTTCATTAATGAATTAATAGAAATGATACAGGGTGAGCTGCTGGTCAGCATGTTAGTTACATACGAAACTACTTTTTTTTTTCCACCGACAGTGAGGCAGCCAATCCACTGGGGCAGTCAGCATAGGCAACTACTATTTGCTTATACAAAAACTGTACTTAAAGCTTACGGTTTATTTTAAATAAATTTCGTATACTGAATACAGCTCCTCCGAAAAGCGCTGTTTTCTATCTCATTTGTTTTAGATTTCAGATTAAAGGAAATTAATCAGTTCTGTTTCTCACTTCCAGTTTCTCACTTCTAGAGACGGGATTTCTGCCTGTTTGTTTTTCGTGGTTTTCTATATACCCAGTTTCCCACTGAAAGGGCTCCACGAAGGCCCATAGCTCTCGTATGCTTTGTTATATTTAAATAACCCTAACCCTCATACTACGACAACTGTCACACTAAATTAGGGTAGAAGATTTCGAAACAAGATTTTAAATAAGACTCCGGATCCCCACCGGCAGAGCATCTAAAATCGCTAAGCACAGCTAGCTAGCTCGACACGGGTTCAAATCCTGGCCAACGAGCTGGTTGTATGAAAGTTTTCTTGCCTTTTTTTTACAAGTGGAACGAGAATATAATTCAGATCCTCTTAGAAAGTTTCCTTCCTCTTGGGCAGATAAACAATTGCGTGCTTCACCGTAATCCAATTACATTAAACCCGTCTATATTGACAGCTATCATTCTATCTTTGTAAAGAAATATTAAGGTAAAAACATGTAAATATCAAATTTTCTTTAGATTGCAAATATTTTTAAGCAATTGACATTTTAATCAGCAGATCTTTTTAGTGGACTCATGAACAACTGAAAATTGCAGCCCAGCTGGTATAGTGGTTAGCGTCGCTGACTGCCGTATCGAAGGGTCCGGCTCGAATCCCGGAGAAGGATGAATGTTTGTAAATGTATAGTGTCCGTGCAGCATGGGGGAACTCCAAATATGCAGCGAGCCAAAAGTCCTCTCGAGAGGTTGTGGTAGGGCAACAACAACTGAAAATTAAGCAAAAAGAATCTAAAATCAGTATAAAACTCTACCGAGTACTAAAGCAATCTAGCAAAACCTTTCCATCGGGCGATAAATTCTACTCATATAAGAACAGTTGTATTTTTATAGTATTTATCAAGTTAAATTTATGAGAACCTACTCAAAGTTCGGTGTTTCAGAGCCTTCGAGATTCATCAGAATGGTGATAAGATCATTAAATGTAGGAGAGGCCAAAAAATGCTTTAAATGAATTGTTGCAAAATGCACGAAGTATAAGTAGTTATACAAATAATTAAAAATATGCGAAATTTCTTCTGATGACCTCTTTCAAACAGCATAATATTTCTGCAAAGAAGTAGCACATATTTAATTAACACATGGTATTTGGGGTTATGAACAGAAGGTCGATTCGGGGCTATGAACAGAAGATTTCTATATTACTTCCTGATAAGCTATCGAGTACAAATTTTGTAAACATATTAATTGCGGATGATAATATAATATAGTAAAACAAATTTTATAAAATTCCATTAATTTTTTTTAAAATTTAATGTTGTCACGATTTTTGCACATATTTTCATTCGCAAGACAAACTACAAAAGTCAAAACTTTAACGTTTGCACTGACGTAAAATATTCTTTTAATTGAAATTTGTATGATATTTTTAACATAACTTCTGATTTCTGAGTGAAACGTCAGAAAATGTTTTCGATTATTTGAGGCATTTATTGGAAGTAAAAAAAAAATATTATTCATTGTTATTCATTTACTTTATTGGAAGTAAAAAAAAATTATTCATTTTTGAAAAATGATTTTTCAATTGAAAATTTTCATTGAAAATGAGTTATTAAGATTAAAAAGATAAAAATTTTTTAAAAATTAAAAAAGTTTTCTAACATAAGCTTTTATTCAAAACTTATAAAATTCTTAATAAGCCAAAGGCAAAAAATAATTTATGGCATATTTTAATGGGAACAAG